GGCGGCGGGCGCGGGCGGAGGCCGCGCCTGCGGGCATGGTGGGCAGCGGGCTAACGGATGAGTTCCGCTGGGGTGCCCCCGACAATGTGAGTGAGGGCTTCTTGAGGTCAGCATATGGGGGCGGAAGCTCAGGGTTGTGCTTATGCATGTCAGTGTGGGCCGGAGTGAGCTGCGCCCGAGTCGTTGATCGCCTTGCATGCCGTCAGGCCAAGCCGACCGACCTTCAGCCGCGCGTCCTCCCGTCGTGAACGTCCGATTTCAAACGCGCGGCTGCGACAGGTGGAGCAGTACCTGGCGTCGGCTGGGTGGACCGTGGTACAGCGCCAGTCGTGGCGCGCGATGGCCGCCGCGTACGGCTGGACGCCGGAGCCCAGCCGCTTTCGCCCCCCTGCGCCGCCCGCCCTGCCCGACAGCGGAAACGACGCAGCCGCAACAGGCAGCGGCGCCGGCGGCGGCGCCAGCGGCGCGGGCGACGCCCCGAGCTTGCCGCCCGAGCTGGAGGTCCAGTTTGTCGTCGCGACGCGCACGTTCTGACGCGTTTTTGTTTGTCCGTGTGCGGTGCGCTCCCCCGGCAGCGGTCGGTGGCGGGCCGATGCGTTGCAGGGCGCGCCGGCGGCGGGCCGTCCTGCTGCGTAGAGGGGCCCGACGCCATTCAGGGTGCAGGCCGCCCGCTGCTTTGTTCACTGGTGCATTGGGTTAGTAACCTGGGCGATGCTTTACCCCGCAAGATTTGCGCCAGGCCCTTGCACACACAACCCCCTGCCGCGGCTGCGCCCGCGCACAGCGGCCGCCGCCGCCCCTTCCTTGCCTGGCCGGCCACCCCCAGCTGCGAGCCGGCGGCCTCTCTGGGCTATGAGGACATCTCATGTCCCATGGACGTGCCATGCGCCTCGGACGCGTCGATGTGTGTATTGCACAGCGCAATCGCTCCTTGCACAGCACAAGCACTTATCCGTATGATGCACAGCTGAGCAGTGGCGGCTGCCCCCGCTACAAGCAAGGGAATGGGCTTTGCACCCCCATGTCTCCGCATTTGCACATTGCGTTTCCGTCGTGTCTGGGACCTCATCGCATGCTGCCACGGCATAGTGCGCAAGCAGTGCAGGAGACCATCCTGACCCCGCCTTGAACGGTGCCTCAGTCGCCGTTTTGTGCACCCGCAGCCGGCCAGCGCCGCCGCGCCGGGTCCGCCGCGGCTCTCGCCGCCTGCGCCCGGCCCCCCATTTCAACCACCCCCGCGCACACGGGCAGGGCCAGCAGGCGCCTGGCAACGCGGCTGACTGCACAAATGCTGACCGTGTAACACGAGCCACGCGGAACGCCGCAGGAGCGCCTCGCGGCCGCGTGCGGCCGAGCCGCTGTGCGGCCGGGCGACTCAACGCAGATACGGCGCATGCAGGGGATGTGGGGCAGCGGGGCCCATGGGTTCCTCCCAGCTGTGCGAGACCTGAAATTCGCACATGCACTTGGCTTGTCATGCGTACAGCGTGCACATGCGCAGACAGGGTGCTGTGCGCAGGCAAGCACGGCAGTGCGAGGGCAGCGCAAGTTCTGCTGGGGATGGAGGCACAATACTATGCAGGTTTGGGGGGGGGGGGGAGCGAGGCAACACGGCCCGCGACCCTGGCGGCAGCGGGAAAGCTACATGCGATTCACAGGGGTACGTGGCCGACGCGTCCCCTTGCAAATAGGGTCAAGGCACAGACAATAGAAGCCTGGCCCGACGCGTCCGCCCGACATCCAGCGCTCTGCCGCCGCTCCTGCATACACCTCCTGCTCAGCCACGACGGCCAACCGCCACGACCCTCACTGCGCGCCGCCCGCAAAGTTAAACGGCCCCGCGCCGCCCCCCGCCGCGCCGCCGCCGCCGCCGCCGCCGAAGCTGAAGCCGCCGGCGCCGGCGGCTGCGGGCGCGGCGGCGCCGAAGGCGTAGGCGTTGGCGCCGGCCGCGGGCGCGAGGTTCTGGTCCTCGCCCTCCTCGCACTCGAAGTAGGTCTCGAGGATTGAGACCGCCTTCTCATACAGCTCCTCGTTCTGGTGCTCCTGTTGGGGGTGAGGGGGTGGGGCGGGGG